GTATCATCATCAATTCTATTTTTCATGTAAGAAAATATTTCTTTTAACTGATAATCATCTTCACTTGCTAATGATACACGAGCTATCCATATTCCTTCCTTGTCATTTTCATATATTTGTTCAATTCGAAATAAAGCACCAAGCATAATCAATATTTCATCTTCTTTTTGAAAAAAACTCATTTGAGTAATATCAGCAAAAGCTTTTGTTTTTAAACGTGGATTAATTTCTATTTCGAAAATCAGTTTTTGAACATCATCAGTTTTTTGATTAAGTAGAACGAATTGCAGAGCAGTTGATCGAGAACGAGTTGTTGATAAAAATGAATTCATTGAAAGAAATTGACCAATATTATTCTTCATTAATTCAAGTTCATTATTTCCAATTAGTTGACCACGATAAACACGAAAAATATTTCGACTATCAGTCGTACGAATGAATTTTTCATTTTCAATTTTGATTTGTTTAGCAATATCAGTTATAAAGAATCGAAGAGAAAATAATAAATCAAAATCTTGTACACGTAATGCTTTATTCATTATTCGATAAAAACATGATTCACGTGTATACCACCGTATAGCATTTTCTGGTTTATAACTCTTTTCAAATTCATTAATCATTTCCATCTCTTCTTCATTATCATTATAATTATTCTTACAAATATCTAAAAATTCTTTACGATCATTTGATTTATGATGCATACGAAGAAGAACTTCTATAAATAATTGAAACCACATAAACATAGCATTACGAACTTCAAGAGATTGAGAACCAGAACTAATTACTGATATTGAAGTTCCATCTACTAGGTTTTTACGACCAATTTGATCTTCAGATATTTTTGCAATAAGTTTATCATAATTAATAAAAACACCATTGACCTAAAATAATTCAATAAAAACAAAAATTAAAAAAAATCCGAATCTATTCTTTATAATAGATTTAACCTTATGATATTTATTAGCCCATTGTTCATTAGTTTTTTGATCTTGACAAAAAACATAGCATGCAGTTAATTGTGGAAGATCATGAAGTCGAGGTACAAAATCTCGACCTAATGAACCTGATACAATAAGAATAACTTTTTCTTGTGTAATCTGTCGAATGTATTCTTCACATTTATCAATATTATCGAATATTCGAAGATGATTGATCATTCGACGAAGTTCTTTTTGAGTTTTTATATTATCCTCTGTTGAATTAACATTCCGATCGAGCCATAAACATGCGAATGATTCAAGATTAGAATTCATCGATTGATGAACAAATTTTGTTGAACTTGATATGTTACTTGATTGATGTTTGCTGACAGCGACTAAAATTACAGAAAAATACTTGAAAAAAAACGCTCACGTTCACTCTCTTTTTTTATTTTTCTTCTAACTGTGAACCAATCCTGATACTCGATCACATATATTACCGGATGAAGTTTTTTTTCTTCTTGCAGACAGAAACAAGCACGTTCTGAACACACATTGCAGCAATATTGACGCAAAGAAAATAAGAAAAAAACAACAAGAGTGTAAACTTACATCTAAAAGGGAGAATAGAGTAACAGCCAAGGTCAATCGTAGAATTAGAATTTTTTAAATTATAAAATGATCAATAGATATATATATATATATTTCAAGTAACGACTTTTCTTATCCTAAAATTCCTTATAAATACTTAATATTATCTAATCCATTTAAAACGTATGTCAGCTTTTTTCTAGAAATTGCGACGCACACTGTAAAAAAAATAGGTACCATATACGGAACCTATAAGGGTTCCGAGATTTGCAACGAATTCGAAACCATTTTAGGTTTCGTGCAAGCCTAGTTCTGTACGAAACCCTTATTGGAAACGCCAAAATAGGGTTTCGTACACTATTACCATACTATTAGAATGATTCATTAAAAATAACAGAACAAAATCACACATATCCATAGACTCCTCTTAACCATACATGATATGAATCACGACACAGGTATATAAATATCCACAGCATCTCAGCATCGCTAACGACAGTAAGGATGTCAATAATTAGAGCATCACAAATCAAATCTCATATCATTCCCGTTTCATATTCGAGGGCTACCTCCTAATTTATTAAGCATTACAAGACTAACTACAATTCTCATATCCTTTTGAAATTATCGTAGACAAGTACACGATTTCACTTATCTGAATATGAATTCAGAGTCACAGTTTAACAGATACTTACCTTTTCATCTATGTCTTCTGGAGATCCAAATAACACTTTTTTCGTCAATTTGAAATGAAACCATCCCACACCATCGATTCTTTGAGCTGATCTAAATACAAAATAAAATCATATTTCAAATATAACATATCTTACCATTACTTGTTTCGATTGATCTAAATACAAAATTGAATTACAGTTTAACATAAAAACTTACATTTAAGTATTTCTTTGATTAGTTGATATAAATATAAAATAAGAATCTTATTTGAAAAATAACTTGCCTAATCATTGCTGGTTTCACTTGATTTAAATAGAAAATTAAATAACACTTTGAAATAAAAACTTATCAAATTATTGGACTATTTAGTTGATCTAAATGTAAAATAAAACTATATTTGAAATGTATATTACTTAACCATTCGTCGTTTCGAGTGATCTAAATACAAAACTAAATTACAATCAGAAAATGAAAATTCGCGTAAATATTTAACTGACCAATTAATCTAAATATAAAAAAGAAATATGTTTATAATATCACTTACCTTACTCTTTCTTGCATCAATTGATCCAAATAGAAAATGAAATTGAATATTGAAATGAAAAATCAATCTCAATATAAAATAAAGTCAAATTTGAAATATTAGTTACCAATAGTTGTATATTTCAATTGATGGATATACAAAATTAAATCATAATTCGAAAGAAATATTTTCGTAATTATTGTTCCGGTCATTTGATCTAAATATAGAATAAAATCATCTTAGAAATATCATTTAGTAACCGTTAGTTATTTTGATTGATTTTTGAACTAATAGCAAATACGCAAGTTGTACACATTGATAAATGTCGCTAAACTAATTTTCTGTTGCTCTCTGGATTTTAGCAGTCCGAAAAATCCTTTTTTTTCAGTTGATTTGTGTATTGGAAGAATTTTTGCCAGAAAAGTGGAATTCAAGAATGAGTTTTATTATAATGCATAAGAAGATTTCGAGCTCAACATTACTTGAAAGACTGGTCCAACTCTGATAACATACCAGAGACCGTCATAGGGTCTCTTTGTTCGCCGTATTGTGCCCTGCTCCGATGGCATAGCAAGTTTCAATAATACTCTTAAACTGAGCATATCCATTGCAATTTTTTAACACTTGATAAAATAATGTGATCGCTTTCAAAAAGTTGGTATCCATATTCTTATGTCACGATCAGCTCTGATATATGATTGAAAAGAATCTCAAATCTGAGAGCAGCAACCAAAATGAAAACTTGAAATATAATTATAATGGATATTTTTCTATTTAAAACTTGATCAAAATATTACTATTTTAATCAAACTATTCAAGTGTGCATTGATTTTAATCACTATTTGAGTAAAAAGCATTTTTGTCGAGGTTTAACTTGAACACTCAAAGGCTTTTTCGAATTCCTCACCTTATAGCAAATGATAACTGTAACACTACGTCAACTTTTGATGCATATCATACTTCAAGATACACCAATATGTGATATTTACTCGAATAAGTCAAATATCGATAAATTTGACCACATCTTCTCCACAGTATAAAACGGAATATAACATTTCTCTTTTCATAGAAGTCTTGTAGTACGAGTTGGCTCTATGTTACCGTTTGTCTATAAACCCAAATATTTTCCAACAACTTTCTCTCATTCACCTATGGCTTTTAAGATAGCTATGCCCTTGTGAATACCAGTTTTTTCACTAGGAAAAACACTTTTATTAGGGAGAAAATAATTTTAGTTGCAAAAAAATGTTTTTTTTTTCTACTGGAACATGGTTTTTTTTCTCTGCTTTGTGGCATAAATACAAGTACAATCTTTAAAATGATAAAAGGAGGATAAGCAAATTCTTAATTTTATGAGTACAAACATTCTTCATTCGATTCAAATGGACTGAGTATCAAATAATTGCATTAAAATTGGCGAAAAGCATTTCCATGGGTATCAATTTCTTTATTAGAAAAATTAAACTAGACTCAGACACTTTCTCATTTTTTTTGGCACAGGGCAAAATTCTTTGCCCTGCTCTATGACGGTCTCTGTAACATACGTAGTTATGAATGTCGGTGGATAATGTTCATGAACACTGACTTAGAACAATTAAAAATCGGTTGAATATGTTATTCACTTTCAATCCCTTGAGTCTCAAGTAAAGCTAAGGAGTGGTCACTTATGTGGAATGTTCTGGCTGCGATACTTTAGTGAGGTTTAGTACGAAACCTATAAGAGTTTAATACAAAACCTTTGATGATTTTGAAAAATAACAGAAGTATCATACGAAACCCTTTTGACTACTAAACCTAGATGGTTCGATACGAAACCTTTCATGATTTTGAAAACTCACAGAAGTATGATACGAAACTCTTTTTACTACGGCACCTTTAAAAGATTACGTAGACGCGTACGGACACTTTCAGAATATCATAAAATACTACTGAACCTAAAATGTTTCGTGTGAAACCAATTTTTTTTTCAGTGCAGTTACGGTGTAATTGTAGTGCAATTCAATCATAATCGGAAATTCTAACCTTTTAAAATGTCAATCGGAGTAATTCATACAATCATCATTGTGATTACAGTACAGACGTAAATGGAATGAGGTAATTTAAAGAAGATCTGTGAACAGAATGGCAGATATATATACTCTTATTAGTTTGCATTCATTTGTCAGATTTATCGCCTATGAGTATATTATCTAATATTTCTAACTAATAAGTTTACATTTCTATACAATGTATTTCTATTTAGAAAATTTTCTATTAGTTTTTGTTTTTTTTTTTGTTGTTATTAACACATCTAAATTTTTCGCATGAGAAACTCAAATTTTGGATATGTATGTTTTGTATGTATCGATTATCTCTATGAGTGCCATTTATCACATAGATGATATTCAAGATTGTAAAAGAACGACTAAAGTTTATTCCGAGATAGTTTTTAATTTCTAATTGAAAAAAATAGGTCGTTGTAAAAATATTTATTGAATAAAAATACTGCATATGTATGTTTTTTCAACTAAAATTCATTGCAACGTAATAAGTTCGTCAATAAGACATAAGAGACACTTATATCATCATAACTGCGTTACTTTTGACGATTAATAATGATACTTAAACAAATCGGCGATTAATTAAGGACTTTCTGAACACAGAAATAAATCAAAATTAATTGGTAGTTTTTCAACAAACTTCAAAAGTAAGTATTATTATGCAAAACTAAATATATCTTTTCTTCTATTTGAATAATCTAATCATTTCAATGCATAATAAATACGATTTTATTAAAATAAAAAAGAAAACAAAAAAAATTTTTTTTTTTGTAATCTGTACTGTCGATGAGAAGAACGAAATCATCTCTCTTCTCATTTATGAGAAACATATGAGTACGATGATAAACAAGAGTTATACACACGTCGATACGTAGCCATAGTCGGAGATCCAAATACTATAACCAAGCCACACCATCGAAAATATATAGAATAACTCATAGATAGAACACTACGATAAAAGAAATGAAATATCTTTGTATGAGTTTAGTCAAATGAGTTGATTTTTTTGTGTACCTATACAAGCTCATTCAAAGTAATGTTCCATAGGGATAACGGAAGTCAATACTACTATTAAGTATTATTGTCGGTATCATGAAATCAATTCAACCTGTTATCGAAGTAAAAAAGAACACATGTGTAGCGTTTCATAGACAATTTTTGATGGTCATCGAAAACAATAATAAGAACAAGTCAGAACAAACTTTATGGATGATTCTATATTGATATACATAGAGAAAAATTTTACTACTTATTTTAAAGATTAACGATTATAAAGTTTCGAATTTTCAAGCACCAGATAATTACTCATTTTTGCAAAGAAAGTTGGTATATTAATAATTATATAAAAAGATTAACTTCGTACTATCCATATTTCATATTTATTGTCCAACAGTGTGTTATTATTGAAGAAATAGAAAATGAACAATAAATAGCTACGGATTAATATGATATTAACCTAGATGAATATTTGATAGTACGTCTTTAATTGAATAACAAATTATTCG